TCATCCCAAAATGATGCATTGTTTGGCCAAACACATAGGAGAATAATTACTGAAAACTGAACTACTCTGAGTTCCATTTTTTTCCCCACCAGAATCCTGGCTGACTCTCCAGTTTTTTTCTGCAGCAATTAGCATAGTGAATGACTGAACTCACCATCTGAGTCACCTTAATTCTATAACACCACTGCTCCGCATGCCCCCATTTTCTCTCTTGAGTCTTCACTGAAATTTTTGGGCACTGCTGTGCCATCTTGGCATGCATTTACTTGGTGCAGTTTCTCTGCCCTGTGCTGGGGAAGAGTCTCTTTGTTTTCCCCTACTCCCCATCACAGAAGCAGAAGAATGCACTAATTCTCCCCTTTCCTTGTGGAGTGGAAAATGACTGAGAAGGTCTCTTTTTGCCTGGGGAAAAATAGTTACTTGTTGCTTCTTTTCTCCTTTCAAGTTTAAAAGGACAAAAGTATTTCCCTTTGGAATGGTGGAACCAGAGCATTTCTCTCTCTTTTCCTCTCTGTCTCTCATTTCTATATCTATCTATCTCTGTCTCTCTGTATCTCTTCAGCTCTACCAGGAACTTCTCCATCCTGGACCATTCTATTTTCTTCTTGCTCTGTCTCCCCTATCTGCTCCACATATATATACACATGAAAATGTATTTTGTTCTCATGCACCTTTGTGGTAAACATCAGGCAAGGTACATTTGCAAATATTAGCGTTAATTAATCTACACAACGACTTTGGTGGAATGTGAGTAGGCCTATACTGCAGAGAATCTTTCATATCAGAAATAATGCATTTGAACATTTTATGGTATGGAGCCTGATTCATGCTAGAGAGTATGTAATCTCATAAGGAAGAAAAATGCATAGTTTGTTTAAAATTTTAAAGATATGAATGGTTCAAACCAATGTCCTTTGATAGTTCAGACAAAGAGGAGTCAGTCTGGGCTGAGCTGCACTGCAGCGATCAATATAGCTTGAGTTCAAACTTGAAGAACTAGTAAGATCTGAAAGAAGAGAGCATTGAGATGAAGTGAGATGTGTCATGAATTGGGTTGGGAATAAAGCCCCAGAAACAGTAAGGGAAGTATAATGGAGTGTGGATAGGCTTCAACCTTAATGAAACACAGAGGAGAGATTAAATGCTGATTCTGTAGTTATCAGAGGAAAGACTTCAATAACTTATTTATCAATCAGACCCTTCCCCACCTTAAATCTCAAGTGAAGACAGCTTTATAAATATTGATTCTCTAACATCTCTTGGACAGCCTTATTATCACAGGCTCTACTAATTATTTTAGAATATTGGAAAACATTCTTTATTAAATATGTATATTTTTTGGTTTTGTTCTGTGTTCTGCATAATCAGATGAGAACGGAGATTGGCTAGACTGTTCCACACATTGTGCGAAGTACTTGTCATAAGGAGACAGTTTGGAATCACTGTACCCACTTGCTCCCACACAAACTCAAAATATTTGACTGCCCTCACTTCACATGCAGCTTCTGTTGGTCCAGATAATAGATGGATGGATCAATCCATTCTCATGTTGACCAGGGGCAGGTTTCCAGAAAAAAGAAACCAGAAAGTAGAACTTGATTTCTGATAATCCAAATTGTTATTATTTACTTTTTAGTTTGCCTACCCCCTCATATACATCACACTATAGCCAAAGGATATTGTGCTTTTCTCAATATAAAATATAAACTTAATAATGGGAATTGGACAATAAAGTGCAAAATGCCAAATAGAGAAAATGCTGAGAAACCAATATTGCCTGTTTAAAATTGTCTAACTCTAACATAAAATTAAGGGAACAATTAGTCTTTCCTCCTCCTGTTACTCCTTATCTTTAAATATTGAAAAGATAAACTTGGTTATGATGACAAAGAATCTTATCTGAGGCTGGATTAAGTTGGCAATTATTTTTTAGTCTCTACTAAATCTTGCCTTTTTGACTGCTTTTGGCCAGTTAGTATAACACAAGTTAGCAATATTTGAGAAAAAGTTGAGACCAGATACTTATCAGTTTTTTTTCATAATAAATATTTAGTATTGAATTGAAATCTCTGTGATGCAGTCCCACTGTGGTAACATTTAGTATCTTAGCGTATTAAATAGTGACTGGGGCAATTGCATAAAGGAGATCATTTCAAAGTCCTTTTGAAATAAGTACATTTCTTGAAGTAGAATTTATTAACTAAAACATAAATTTCTATGTCTAGACTGATCTCAAAACTTTCAGTGCAGATGAGGGAGCATGATAATTCTAGATAGGGATTTATCAACCACACTAATACTAGCACTTGGGTTTGATAATATTTTATGTTGGGATACTATATTGTGCATTGTAGGCTGTTTAACAGTATCCCTGATCTTTACCCACTAAATGCTACTAGCATCCCCTTTGTAGTGAAAATCTAGTGTCTCCAGACACTCAAATATTCCTTGGAGGGCAAAACTGCCCCATTTTAAATAACCACTTACTTAGATAAGAATATAACTATAAGATACTAAGTCTCAAAATTATCCTATGGGTTAACAATCATTTATTAAGCATCAACAGTAGACCATCCCCTATGCTAGGCATTTTATGTATAATAATTGTCATGTGGAAAACAACTTGGACACAATGGTGGCTCACACATAAGATATACCATAGGAACAGACCAGATTCATGGACAAAATTAAAATGCTCAAGTTATATGGTTAATTAATTCAATGTAAAACAGCTAGTGAAGAAACAGTAAAATAAATGAGATATGTTAACAGATTTCATATAGACCAAGTGGGCAGATCTGAAGGTAAGGTCATGCAAAGTTCTTATGTACTGTCTTTTTCTCTGCATATTTCACACTGACCAGCTGATGATGTGCAACTTAATAGGATTATAGTTGAAGTCTGAGCCAAAGGCTCACAGAAAGTATTGTGTGGGAAAGACACATGACCACGGATGCAAATCATCAGTTAGCTGCTATGGATAGAGTTATGGGATATTCCTGCATTTTCTGAGTAGCGTACATATAGATGCACAATGGCACTATACTGGATGTCATCAATAGGTGACCAATTTAAGAACCTAGCTAGCATCTCAAATTTGATATGATAGAATCTTACTCATTCCATCACTTTCCATCTAAAAGTTATGCATATTTTCATTGCATCAGAACTTTATTCTATCTTTAGTATGTCTTACCAATTATTAACTTATTATTTATACTTCTCAGAAGTTACTTGATTCTTTATTATCTTTACTTTTTAACACATCTTATGAGTTAGGCTTATGATAAGCTACAAGCTTTACTGACTATCTATGCTTAACATTTCTTATAAATTCATCTACACCATTAATTTTCTTTCCTTTAAACAAAATTCTAGAAACAAACAAACAAAACCTTGCATTGTACTAACTACAATAATAAAAACAGATTTTAGTGAAAAATTAACTCATCTTGCTTAATGTTACACAAATAGAACATTTTGTGGAGAGGATTCAGGTCCATCTGTACCCAAACTCATTTTTGTTTGTTTGTTTTGCTTCTGTTATTTCAACATGTCATCTTTTTGAACAAGATTCCTGAAATAAATCCTAGTAGTGTTTCTCTGGGTTTTCCCATCACACACTTTTTTGTTGTTGTTGTTCTATATGCAATAATTCAGAAAGATCCTGAAAGCAAGAAAATCCACAATACAAATAGAACATGTGCATACAATTGAATCTTACAACTAATCCTGCCATGCTTTATGAATATATATACCAAGATAGCCCTGCCCTTAAAGTTTTCTTCAGCTCTCCCAAGCTTTACTTAAAAAAAAAAAAGAAGATTTTATTTATTTATTTTTCAGAGAGAGAGAGAGAGACAGTGTACAAGAAGGGAGAGTGGCAGGAAGAGAGAGAAGCAGGCTCCTTGGGATCCCAGGCCCCTAGGATCAAGACCTGAGCTGAAGACAAACGTTTAACTGACTGAGCCACCCAGGTGTCCCTTCAGCTTTCCCAAACTTTAGACCAACCTTTCTGGCTCTTGGCCCTGACCTGCCTTTTCTTAGAGCATTTACTTTACAATATTTATAACTGTAAGTTATTTCTTTTCCCCCTTAAGATGTAAATATTTTTAAAAGATTCTTGCCACTTTTACCTGCCAGGGATGTCTTTGTTAAGGACTTGGGAGCCAACCATTTGAAATGTAATCATTCAGGTGGATAGAGACCCTATTTCTAAGTTTCTGTGGAAAGGTAGGAGTCTAACTTGGTGGGCACTGTACTCCATGCTGTAAAACTACCTCCTGTCATGAAGATAAGAGAAAGTTTGCTTTTCCTTCGGGGAAGGTACATTAGCAAACACAAATAAATGGTCTAAGATTTCCCCACCCCACCCCATCCCAGCTTTTCAAAATTCTTGCCATTGTTTCAGCAGAGTTAAACTCAGACTGAATTCTGATCTCTTTCGCCTACTGCAGTAGGCTTGAAGAAAGTTTTCCTTGCCTTATTAGATAGATGACAGATAGATGATAGATAGATAGATAGATAGATAGATAGATAGATAGATAGATAGTGATAGATAATAGAATACAACAAGAATGATGTGCCAGAAGCACAAAATCCCCAAGTTCAGGAATATCAGGAGATTAGATTAACAGTAATCATTATCTCCAGCTGCTATTGGACCAGGAGGTTGGAGGAGTGACCCCAAACTCAAGGCTTTGCCTCTCCTTCAACAGCTGCATGTCTTCAGCCAAAATCTGGTGAATGGCTCACAAAGCATCTCAAAAACCAGCAGACTTAATAGCACCTACAGTCCACACAGAGGTGGAGTTGCACAAGCCATGCACCAGAGAGACTCTCATCACTGCCTAGGTGCTGCTGGCCTGTGTTTTCAGACTGATGTTACCCAGGAAGGAAGCAGCTTTGAGTGATGAGGCTCTCAGCCCAGCATTCTGGAGTTCCCTGGGTCCAACCCAGCACAGCCAGCCATGCTAAGATGCACCCTGAAAAGTATGTACCAGGTCTTTCTCCAGCAGATTCTAGCCAATGAGGTTCAGAAACAGTTGATACAGATGAATGGTCACCTAGAGCAGAAGCAGTGGTTATAGCTGCTCGAGTATCTGCTGGAGCTGGACCACTGCCATGTAATGCTTTCCTCTCAGAGCAGAAGCCAGCACACATTGTGAGCAGCTATTGCACCTCGTGAGTACTACAAAGGTGGAGAATCACATGCAGCTTAGCTCTGAATCGTTCCCAGATTGCCTCAGCCTCTATCACATCTTTCCCTACATCTATACCAAGGTGGAAAAGTCTCCCAGCCTCATGGGCATCACCATGCTGCTAGGCTGTTTTGTCCATCCTTGGCTGCCACATGAGCAAACATCTGAACTGGATGCTTGCCAGCCTAGGTCCAATTCCATGCCTGTGTTTTAATCCCCTTTATCAATGTGATGCACTTTGCTCTTCCTTTCTTCAGAGTCCCCATGAGGGTAAAAGGTTGGATGTGGGCTCCTGGTTGCAGGTCCCAGAGGGTCTTCCTCCGGTCATGGTGAAAGGTATGCTCCATGGGGTTCATGTACAGATGTTGACATTAAACTGGTTCCTGTTAGTGTTTAATATCATGAAAGATGGAAGGGTAAAATGTAAGATTCAATCTTGGTTTGAAATTTTCACTTAATCCATTTAATTGAAGCTTGTTACAATCATATTAATTCATATTATGTACATTAGTTATTACTCAGACTCACTCTAAAAGTCCAGTAGCTCAGGAGGAGAATAAGTGGTTTGTAAAAGAATTTGTTTCTTTTCTATATGCAAGCATCCAAAGGTATATATACTACTATAATGCAACTTCAATTCATCAGTCTGCATTTCTCATCAACATAAAGGAGTAGGTCAACAATTTCTGATATGAAAATACCATTGAATTTGTCCAAAATGTATTCTATCATGACTGTTTCCCATAAAATAGCAAAAAATATGGTATTTCACATGGATGCAAAAATGTTGTACTGTGACCGCTTCTATTTAGAATCCTGAATCAGTACATCTATTGAAAGCCCTCATGATTGCTTAGCATTGGGTTATGCACTAAATTCTGGGAAGGCTGCTAATACTTGGCCAAATTTCAGAAAATAAAATGTTCAGTTGGAACTCCTCTTCTCCAATAGTATATCTGAATACAGATTACAGCACTGAGATGAACTAACCAGTTATTTATAGTTTGTATACCTAGTTTTCCCGTTAAAGATTTCCCGAGTTGCACCACATTTCTATCTTATGAATTATATAGATTAAAAATACTGGCAAGAAGTAGAGAATGTTCTTAGTATCTTCCACAATAGAGGAAGCACAAGACTTTTTCCAAGAAGATATAGGAGAAGGCTGCCAATAAAAAGATAACTCTGACATTCCCTCAAAATGCTGAAATCTTGCCTATGATAAAGCAATTAATCATCCAACTCTGCATTAAGTACCTATTTAATTACACTCACCATTACACCGGGCACCATGAGAAAATCTGAAAAGAAAAAAAAAGAAAAATCAGTGAAGCAAGCTCTCCATTGAGATACTTAAAACTGAATTCAGGAAACAGAGTTCATATTCACTAACTAAGCTCCCTTGTACGATCCTGAGTAGTTCAACATGAGTTCCAAGGAAAGAGGCATCAACATGCGCCCAAGTAGCTTTCTAAGACAGTAGCTCAACTGCAGTGCACAGTATGGACTACAGGGAAGAAAAGATGAGTAGAAGAGATACCTACCTATAAAGGAGACTGTTGAAAGTTCCCGGAAAGAGATAACGAAGGCCTGAACTAGGGCACCGGCAGCAAAATGTGGAGAGGAAAAACCCGACTCAAGAGATATTTATGAGGAAGGATTAGTAAGTGAATGATTGGTTGTGTGATATGTGGGAGACATCAGGAGTCAAGGTTAGCTCTGAAGTTTCTATCTTGGGGAACTGGAGTCTTGATGCTTCCTGAGATAGAAACACCAACTGACTGTCTTCAAAATTTCGATGATGTGCAGGTTCCCAAGCAGTTCCACTGGGCTTATAGGAAGAATTCATCCTGATGTCTCAATTACTGTAAGTGAGGCAGAATGTGTCAGTTACAGTAAAAATGACAGCATCAGTTTCCAGGTCTCTGCTTACTGAAGGCAGTGCATTGTCACATTGGCAGAGCTTGAGGTAAGCATAGAGGAGTAAGCTTTCACATCACTTGACATGAAGATCTCATATTTCATTTTCCTTCTTCTCTTGCCATGTGTAAGTCCAGAGTTTTAATTCCTCAAATACATTTGCTGGACCTATGTCATTTTATTTATTTTATGATTACAGGTGCAGATTAAGCCAAGGCTATAGTCCTACAACTATATGACCACAATTATATATCGATTCCTGCTGGAAGGCATTTGTTTGTTTTAAGGATTACTTACAGGATAAATAAATAAATAAGTAACTCAGATTAATCTGCGATTACAAAGGAATAAGCCAAACGCTTATAGCACTGGAGTAAGAGTCAGGATATTTTGGTGCAAGTATTACTTCTACACACTGCCTGTGCCCTTTGGATCTCAGCCATCACCAAAATCCACTGGAGTTTCAATTTCTTCTCTGAGCATTCTCTTTCTGGTACTGAATGGAATCTGTATCCACCTCTCTAAACATTTTTATCTCCTCACTAATTCAATAACTCATTCTGATGGTCATACCTAGTCTAGATATTGCTTTTATTAGTCATTGCTAATAAAAATCTGTATCTACTTCTCCAAACATTTTGATCTCTGCACTACTTCAATCACTCATTCCAATTCCAGGTCATACCATAGACCTGGTCATCACTAAGAAAAGTATTATCTCAGCTTCAGGCATTCACATTTCAGACACCATCTCTTATATTTTACCTCACTCCCTCAGAACCTCAATCCACAATCCTCTGCTCAAAAATCAACTGATATAACTCCTTTTTACCATGTCATGTCTTCTTTACCTTTCATGGACTTCCTATTAAATCGTTCCTGTGTATACTGAATTCTTTTTTCCCATCTTATTTTCTTATTTTGGTATTTTCATTTAGCAAAGTCATAACTCTGGTCAAATCAAACTCTTTCTTACTCTGCATTTGCAGTCATGTAGATGAAGATGTTTGGAGGAAACATACACACAAAGACACAGACACACAACACACCCACACACTGACTAGGCTCACATTAAACACTAAATCACTAACAACAATGGGATGTCCAGCAATACTACTGCTGGATTTCCTTGCCTTTTCTCCTTCCCACTTTTCCAGTAGACTGTTTCATGCCTTCCTGTCCCTACTTAGATTTTCTAAGTAGGGACTTCCTCATCCTCACTCACATTGGATGTTGGCCCCATAATTCACTGAAACACCCAGAAGAAAACTTGCTGAAGTTTCAATCACACGTTTAACAATTCTTCTGCATTTTTGCCCTTTTTTAAATAACACCCCTTTTATTTTCTTAACAAGTGTTACCCCTGTCATTAGTAAACTAAAGTACACCCTCTAGAAAACAAAAACACTAACTTGAAAAGATATATGCACCCCTGTTTATTGTAGCACTATTAGCAATAGCTAGGACATGGAAGGAACCTAAATGTCCATTATTAGGCAAAAGGATAGGAAGATGTGATATATATATATATATATATGTAATATATGATATGCTCTGTTTAATATATACAACATATAATATATGTAATATTACACAGCCATAAAAAGGGATAAGATCGTGCCATTTGAGACAGCATGGATGGACCTAGAGAGTATTATGCTAAGTGAAATAAGTCAGACTGAGAAAGACAAATGCCATATGATTCCACTCATAAATGGAATCTAAAATTAAAAAAAATGAATAAACAAACAAAAAGCAGAATCAGGAGTATAAATACAGAGAACAAACTGATGGCTGCCAGAGGGGAGGGAAATGGGAGTTGGGCAAAATGGGTGAAGGGGAGAGGGAGATACAGGCCTCCAGTTCTAGAATGCGTAAGTCACAGGAATAAAAAGCCAAGCAAAGGATTATAGTCAATGATACTGTGATAGTGATGTAATGGGAGAGATGGTAGCTACAATTGTGGTGACCATAGCATAATGTGTAAATTTGTCAAATCAGAATGCTGTACACCTGAAACTAATGTAACATTGTGTGTCAACTATATGCAAACAATAAATAAATAAATAATAAAATACACACTCTATCAATTTTGTTTAGGTTTCAGAAATGCTCTTTCTCTTCTGCTTATTTTTTATGAACATGAAAATATGCTGATTTCTCTCTTGTTAAGCACAACACAAAGCAAAATTTTGCTGTTGACACCAAGTCCCCCAGGAGCTACCACCTTGTCTTTTTTATGGTAAAACCCTTTAAAGTAGTTGTTTCTATTCTCCTCCCATTGTCGTTTGCATCCATGCCAATTAGGCTTTGCTTTCACCTATTCCACCAAAACTGGTTGAGTTAATGTCACTTAATGACCTCCATCTTATTTGACTTTTCACGAGCACTTGCCGTTGATGGTTTTCTCATCCTTCACTTCTCACAGCCTCTCATTTTCTTCACTTGGTTTCCAGTACAGGTCACTCTCTTGATCTTTCTCTACATTATTGGTAAATAATCTTCATTCAGTTTTCTTTAATGTTTCTTCCTAACCTTACTGAATGGACAGTATAGTGCTATAGGAATCTGTATGCAAACAATTATTTTTCTATCTACTGTTGTTCTTTTGGTTATGACGTCCAGTTTCATGCCTTTAAATATCATCTAACTAAATGGTATTTAGGAAACTTCATGGTGCACAAAAGTCACGTGTGTTTGATTGGATGGTGTTTAAAAGAAGAAATTCTCAACTTGGTAATCTCGAATTATTTATCCTCAAGTTTCTATCTCTATTGTTGACCTTTTCCACAAACTCTAGATCATTTGTGTGTCTAGTAAACATCTCAAATTTTAAATGCCCAAAGCATGTACTTGATAATAGTGACAGATACCACCTCTATAGTACTTGCTTTGTATCAGAAATACTCTGGGTCTATGGACTCTGAGAAACAAACTCAGGGTTCTAGAGGGGAGGGTGGGGGGATGGGTTAGCCTGGTGATGGGTATTAAAAAGGGCACGTTCTGCATGGAGCACTGGGTGTTATATGCAAACAATGAATC